CGGGTCTTGAATATCTCCAGAGAAGGAGACTCCACAACCTCCCCGGGCAGCCTGTTCCAGTGCTCCGTCACCCTCAGAGGGAAGAAGTTCTTCCTCATGTTCAGACGGAACTTCCTATGCTTCATTTTGTGCCCATTGCCCCTTGTCCTGTTGCTGGGCACCACTGAAAAGAGCTTGGCCCCATCCTCCTGACACCCACCCTTCAGATATTTATAAGCATATATTAGGTCCCTAACTCACAGCCTTCTCTTCTTCTTGAAGAATGATGAAGAAGTTAAACAAGACTACCTCTATCTACCTCTGTGGACTTGATGGAGAGCAGTGGATCTATCAGGTTATATCTACCTCTGTGGACTTGATGGAGAGCAGTGGATCTATTAGAACTACATAAAATCATCAAGAAGCTTTTGCATCCCAGTTGTTGACTTTTCCTGCAAGTATTTTGTGAAGTGCAGCGCTGATATTGAAACAAGGCATCTATCAGCTCCCCCACAACTCAGAGACACTGAGTGATAGAATGCTTTCAAAGTTCTGTAGTTTTCTTCACATAGGATTAATTTTGCTATTAAAACTAAAGGTGTTTGTGCTAGTTCTGCATGCAACAGCTAAGTATCAGCAGCACTAGAGGCAAATTAATATTGCACTCACTTGGGCTGCTATCTCCTGACCAGCAACACTCAGGCTGTGCCAGGCCTTACACATCCACATCTATAGTAAATACTCCTACGAAAAGCAAAACCTATTTAGTTTCCATTTGCAAAATTTATGAATTACAAGTAACTGACATGTAAAAAGAAAAAAAAAAAAGATAAGAAATTATTAAAAAGGAAAACGTCAATGTTATTATTTTAGTCTAGTACTTCTATCAAAAGCCTGACAGACTGTAGCATAATATCCAGTTAAACTTTGTTTTCAGGAAAGTAGCAAAACACATTTTTTGAAGGAAAGTAATCCAGCATGTGAATATAATTAAAATCCAACTCCAACCAATTTCCCTCTCAAGTCAGGAGCTGAAATGCAATCAATACTGGCACAGGAAAATCCCACAGGAGATAGTGGCTGAAGATTAATTTTCTATCTATTCAAACCTGGCCTTCACTTATTGAATTACATTGTTACCTACCAGCGACAGTCAGCAAAATAACTCACTTATTTCTCTGCAACGAATCTCCAGACCAATTTCTCTGCAATGAATCTCCAGACCAATTTCTCCCTCCCTTGTG